TTTTTTAAAGTAGGTCTAAATGATTATTTTAAAATTATTAAATATTTCTTAAAATGATCTTATTTTTGTTTTTAAAATAATTTTTTTATTAAGGAATAAAATTTCAAAAATGTTTCAATTTTATTGTTTTTAATAATTAAAAAATAATGTGTTTAATTATTAATTCTAATTTTCCAAAAGATTCTCAGGCGAACAAGAAAAATGGATTTTAAAAATTTTAACAATTAGATTTATATAATTTCTAAGGACTTTATTAATTCTTTTGTTAATTTAATTGTAACTGCAAATTAATGAAAGTCTGAAATAGTTACATATATTATGTGTAAGATTTATAAAAATATAAATTCTTTTTTAGTTTTGCTTAAGTTTTACTTATCAGCATAATTCTAATATTGTAATTTTTGAACTGATATTTATTTTTTGTTAAATAGGTAATTTTATATAAACAAACAAAGCTATTATTTAAAACATTGTTTTATTGAAATTTTTTTTGATAATAGGTATCATAAAGGATCTCCCCTTAAGGATGGTGGTCGTTATAAGTATAGTTTAACATTAGAAAAAAATGTATATATTGCATCTTTAACTGTCTTCCAAGTAGGGGATGTAGATGAGGGTGATTATAAAGTCATTGCTAAAAACTCTGCAGGCGAGAGTTTTGCAACTATTAATCTTAATTTTGAAGGTAAGAATTTACTGTCTTATCTCAAGAATATTGGTTTTTTACATTTATATACATAAATGTGTATATTCAATGTAAATATATATCTAAAAATCAATATATATACTGTAGAGCAAACTACTTATAATACAACTTTCAGCAGTTACATTTCTCACAAATATAAACATTTTTGGTCTTGTAATGTTATAAATATAAGCTTGCTGTAAGCTAAGGTTCCAGCTTCTGTGATGATTTCATCAATATGTATATGCAGTATATATATACAATATATATACATGTACTTTACATACATACATGCATATATACATGTATGTAAACTCAATATTAATATTTATATATACACAATTTTTAATTATTACAAATAAGTGTTTAATTAGTGTAATTATAATTATAGCAAAAAACTAAAAGTAATAAACATGAATATGATTACAAATTTTAGATTAACAAAAAATTCTCTTTTTCTATAATATGCAAATGCTACACAAAAACTATAATAAAAGAATGCAATTTTTTATTGTATTATTTTATTTTACAATTTATTCAGATGTAGAAAATTGTATTTTAGATTATTTTCAATAACATAGAATTACTCAAACATGAAACTTTAAAATATTTGTAAAAAATAATGTTTTTTGTAAACTAATATTTTAATTAAAAAAATAAAATTTAAAATTATCTCAATATGCAGGGTGAGTCAAAATTATGTGAACAATCTTAATTTTTAATCAAACATTATTAATGAAACATCTTAATTTTGTTTTGTTTTCTATTCCGATTGGTCACAATAGACTGTTGTTATGGCCTCCCCAATCTCTGGTGTTCTGGTACTAAACTGTACTGTTGAACATTGGTTTGAGTGCATTAATCGTGCTGGTGGTCAGGTTGAGACTCTGTATAACGCAAACTTTGAGTAAATGCTTTCTCTCAAATAGTGTTCACATAATTTTGACTCACCCAAGATTGTTCACATAATTTTGACTCATCCAAGATTGTTTACATAATTTTCACTCACCCAATATATATATATATGATTGCTTTTAAATTGTGATAAGCAAAATTTCATATGACCATAGGATTATATGTTATATAGAACTATTGATTTTAAAATTAAATAAGAGAATTATATTTAATTTATTTATTTATTGGTAAATATATTTATTACAGAATATATTATTAAGTTTTAATTAGTAAATATAACAATTGTTTTGAGAAAGATTTTAAAATTGTTGATTTTAATTAAAATATTTGATATTGAAGAAAATATTAATCGGTAGATAAATCAAAATAGAAAGAAACATTTGGATGTTTAGTATTTTTTACAAAAAAATTCAACAATTTTAATATTAATCAAAATTTGAAAAAGAATTCTAAATAGTTTTCATAAAATTGTTATGAAATAAAAGCTTTTAATTTTAGAAGAATTTTCATAAATTTATGAAATAAGTGGCAGGTAATGCAGAATATTTGACCTTAAAATTAGATTGAATTATGTCTTAATGAAAGTTTTATATTCTTCAATTTATATCTTTTTAAAATTAATTGTAAATTTTAATAATAAAATTTGAATTTAATATTATTGATATATTAAGTATTATTATTGAAAATTTAGAAATATTTAAAATACGGAAAACATTTGTTAAACAAATATAAAATTTATGTCTTAAGTGTAAAACTACCAATCATTGCAAAGTAAATCAAATTGTTTGTTAATGTAGATCAATGAGACTTTTAGAATTAATTTTTTAAATGTTGGCAATTTGAATTCATTATATCTGGCAATTGTTTTTTTCTATCTTAAATGATTAGATAATATAATTTAAATTATAAATATAACTTTCAGATTATATTTATTAAATTGAATTGTTTTAATACTGTCTGAAATGAATTCATTATCAATAGATATATTAAAATAAATAGATTGAAAAGAATAAAGGACATGGCTTATTTTTAATTGAAAATTTTATTCTTTAGCATGTAATGAAAAGTTAATTTTGTTTCTAATGACAGTTTTTATTGGCTTTGCTTCTAGTGACAGTGAACAAAGGCACAATGTAATTAAGTCATGATTAAGGACTTTAATTTGTTCATTCACAAGTTATTTTTCAGATCTAAATAGCAATATATATTTTAAAAGTTATTTTGAAATTTTTTATAAGTAATAAGGTTAAATTCTTGTTACAGGAGGAATACACTTGTTACATTTCAGTATTTTAACATGAGAGTATTCTTTCTTTCAAAAAGTAACAAATATAAATTTATATAATTAGATTACACAGTAGTTTAATACATAAAAGTGATTTCTACTCTTTATTTTCATTTTGTTCATACATAACTTTTTAAAAAGTATTGTTAAAGCTTTACATTTGAAATCTTGACAAGTAGTTCAGTTTGGTATTTTTGAGAGAGATTTAATTGTAATATTTCAAAGATTTTATCCTATAAAATTTTTATAAATAATAAAGAATTCTTTTGCAATGCAACAATAGCAGTATCTGTTGAAAAGGCAGTATATACAATGTTTATAAATAGTACTATTGGAGTTTGATGCAGTTGTGTGTTTTATATAAAAACACACAACTGCATCAAACTCAATAATTTCATCAAAATACAAAATTTTAGTGTATTTAAGATTTTTGTGAAAATTTAATGTTCTTTTTTTCCNTTAAAATTCCTTTCTCTGCAACTTATTGCAGTGTTCTCCTTATTAATTATTACTTTATGTTGAATTTTATTATTATCAGGAATAAAAATTAGGTATAATAATAAAGAGGAAACAAGAACTTTTCTGTAAGATTGCTTTATTATTATATGTATATTTCAATTCCTAATTAATCAAATTACAAAAGTTATAAAATTTGCACGCGGGTGTGGCCTAAAAGTCAGTTTACCGCACTATATTTTAAGATACGTTATTGTTATTTAAGAGTTATATTAATTATTATAGAAGAGTTTATTTTAAGAACGGCTTAAACTATTCTAGAAGAGCTTAGAGCTATTTATTATTCATGATATTCCATTGAAACGACTGAATCATAAATAATAACATGCAATACAAAGCAGCTTTAATCGTTTTGAAAATAATCTTAAATATATCTCGGCTAACTGACTTTATACCACTCAAAATACATAAATTTTTTATTTATAGACGAGTAACTATACAATCAATCCAGTCAATTTTGTCATAGAAATATGATGGATTTTCGACATAAAAGTCATTCGAATTTGATAAATCGTTTCTTAATTTATCATAAAAGCATTATTTTGTTGTAGATACGGAAGAGGAAAACGTGGAAACATGCAAACAACATAAAGGTCTATTTCAAGATTTCAGAAAAAAACATGAATAAGCAATTAATATCTTCAAGACAATGAATTTTTTATGAAAATAATCTGTCATTATAAAGAAAAAAATTCAATTTAATCATGCATTCAAATTGTTCTTATAATCTTACTATTAAATTGAAAAAAAAAACAAATATTAAATTCGTCTTACTTTCAAATAATAATTTAATGTTCATTGTTTGAGTATAATGGCAGTTTGAATTGAAAGTTTGAGCACAACAGTGATCTAACACTGTTTTTTCGAAAGTTGAGATATTGTATTTTAAAAGTGTTATTTGCTTTTTTACATGTTTCACAGTAAATTATTATTTATATAATTTATTATATTTGTTTTGTTTTCATCAATACTTACATGGAACCCTAGTAATTTTTCATTGTATTTAGAGGCAGTATACGTAATACATGAAAGTACATGCTAATTCAGTTTCAACATAAAGAGTTAGACCATTGTTGTGCTCAGTCTTTCAATTTATAATTAAACATAAGCCTCTATTTTTCATTATTTTTAATAAAATTTAAATAATTCAGAGTAGTTAGATTTCTAAAGAATTTTTCAATATAAAATTTAAATAAATATAAATATTATTTTGAAAAACATATTATGGTATTGGAAGTAGTTTTATATCTAAAAATATATTATTAAAATAACATTCTGATCCCTCTAAGATAGGATATTTATTTTATAGTGTATTTGGAATAATAAATATTGATGGTGTTTGTTAAGTCAACTGTTTATGTATGAAAAAAAAAAAACAGCTTTAATATTTTTTTTTTTTATTTTCTGTACAAGAATTTGTTATAATAAATTTTAAAATAAAATAAGTTGCTAATTTATCTTGTTCTCTATTACAAGATTTAAATGTTCAATGCAATTAAATTGGAAAAGAAATGTTATTACTTGATCAATTTGCTTCATTTGTTATGAACTGATTACTGTTTTACTTTTCTTTTATTCATGAACTTAATAACATCAAACTAATCCCATAACAACTAGATGATTTTTTTTCTTTTTTCTGTTTAAGACTCATCAATTCAAAATGATTTCTTTTGAATTTACATATGCTATTTTCTTTTATTCAGATTTTATAGTGAATAATATGGTTCAGAATATTTATTATAATAAAATAACTTTATAAATAAACTATGTTGTCCACAATATTCTTTAAAATGAAAAATTGGTATGATAAATAACTTTACTATATCATTATTTAAAATCCATTGATCTTTATATATTAAATTTTTTATGAATTTTATATTTTCTGTACTGAAATAATCTATTTAATGTATTTTGTTTAAATTTTTTAAATCAAAATTATTTTATTTATTACATAAATAATATAAGAACAACTTCTAAGAATAAAATAAAAATAAATCAATTTTTTTTTTCATAGTTTT